AAAGAAAAAAATGGTTTGGTTTTGTCCCATTCTGTCCCCCTCCTCTGCCCACCACCAATTTGTAAAAACCCCATTTCAGCTGTTATTTTAGCCTCACTGTGGCATAATTCAAAGTAGCACAGCCCAAAATGTACATATTACCCTTTATCAGGTATGTTATTCAGCATTCAAGCCATCAAACTGTGCAAAAACAAGAACAGGATGCTATAATGTCTGCAATTCTAAGTGTTATATACAGTATACCTATTGTACAGTATCTATTCCTAATACAAAAATAGGTAGCAAAGTAGTATGCTCTGTTTAGTGTGTTGTCTCCCAGCACCAGACAGTGCTAAAGCCTGAACAATCTAAAAAATTCAAAGAAAAAAACGTAGAGTAAAATAGCCAACACCTGCAGTAAAGATATTCAGTAGTGAAACCATGATGAGGGCAGGTGGTTCTCTTTTTCCAGTTCAAGTATTCTCTCATATCCCCTTAGAACAGTAAATATTTATCATCTCTCCTTTACTCTGTGCTCATTTGTTCCTGGTGATAATCTCCTGAGAGCTCACTACAAATCTCACGGGGCACATCTGTACGTGCATTAATGCTCCATAATTGCGGTGCAGTAAGTTTAGTGCATGTAATAACAGGTACTAATTTAACGTTCAGTAGTTGATGCACATCTTTTAAGTGATGCTAATGCGCAGTAGGCTAATTCTGCTGCACGTAGCATGGCTTTCGCTGTGACGCGCAAATGTGCAGTAGAATTAATCTATGATGCTTTTAGTGTCTCATGTAGAGGCACCCACTATCTAGTTATTTTGTGCTCCTTAATGGATTTGTTTGACCCAAATCCATATTCCCCAACAATCCTAACTTTTCTCTCTCTCTCACTGTTTTTGAATGTTGTTGCCAATGTAATTACAAAAACAAAAATTGTTTAAAAACAGTTAAGGTTGCTAAGTGACAAATGTAGCTTATCATAGCAATTATAAAGCCCAAGCACTTAAGACAGGGGAAGCAATAAATAAGGACTTCATATCTTACATTGTATATATAAACATATTGCTATGACATACAAAAGAATATTTCATCACAACCTTAAATCCAACCTAGGGGTTTTACAGTTAGTCTTTGATTATTTGGTTTTTTTTTTAAATTTCAGTATCTTTTACCCCCTGCCCCCCATGATATTCTAAATGAGAAACGGTAGAAAATTTACTGAAAAGTCTGCTCTTTAGTATTCTTTTTTCTTGCTGCTAATGATGGGTATGTGATTTAAAAGTGGAAAATGTGTAGAATTAGGTATGTGACTTGCTTTTGAAGTCAGTATATTCCTATAGAATTTTCATGGGTTTTTTAGCAGAGTTTTGTAACTCCACCATTTGAAACTACTAGAAAAAATACTTTGTACGAGAATTAAGGTTTCTGTAATGACAGGTGCATTTTTATGGCATAGACATATGGTATGCCATAGTATGATTTATACTGTTTTCGAATGATTTCCCGGATTAAGAATTCAGATTTTCCAATTAGGCTGTGTAAATATAATAACTGTATTACCCTTTAGCAACAATCTTTTTTTAGATTATTCTTTTTTTTAGTATTTGCAGTCTGTATATGCCTAGGTGCAGTAGGACTCTGAGAGCAGCCATGACACCCCCTTGTGGGCAGCCAAAGCTCCTTGGGATGTGCTCCTCTCTGACTTTTCTGCCTCACCTGGATGTAATTGGTAGGTTGCTTTTGGAGGCTCGAGTCCCTGAGTGAGCCTGCTGGATCGATATTCATTCTAGCTCCATCTGCTTAACCAGACACACCAGTCTCGGTCATGCCAAGAGACCTGCTGACCAACACACCGTGCCTTGCTGGCATCTGTGCCTCAAGGACACTTATCACAGCCCTACTGGTCCAAATCACAGCTTTCTGCCCCTAATCATGCCCTAAGGGCTTGAATCATGGCTTCCGGCTGCCCCCACAGCCATACCCATGCCCCACAGGTCTTATTACTCTGTTTCATGTACCAGACCCTCTGGCCCTACCTTCACTCCACTCACCCAGCCCTCCAGGCCCCTGGCCCTGGCAGGGCTATTCCAGCTCACCAGGTCCCAAATCTTGGCAAAGCTCCTGCCTCTATCTCAGCCTACTGTGATTCTGCCCACTCAGCCTACAGGGCCCCTGGCCCCAACAGGGCTCTATTGTGGTGTCCACCCTTATAGGATGGAATGCCTCTCAGGCACCCTATCTTGGCCTCCATAGTCCCAGTAGCCACAACTCAAGCCTCCAGTTAAACAAACCTACCAGTCTTTAACTTAAAGTGTAAACCTCACCTTCTGTCTCTCCATTTCTGCAGACCCCTTCCCCTATCTTCTTGCTTTCCTCCAGCCTCCAGGGTACCTTCCTGGGTCTGCAGCTTTCATTCTAGCAGCCTATACTGTCAGGACCTCCTCTGCTTATAGAGATTAGGACCAGCCTGGGTCTGGGCTTATATTCCCCAGGACCGCCACCCCTTCCAGTCACATGTTTCCCAACTCTGCACAAGGGTTTCTCCTTAGCTTTAATCAACCTGCATTGCAGTCCCCACTCAACTACCTATCCAGCGCTCTGTCCTGTTGCAGTGCAACTTGCTCCCAAGTAGTCATCTGTAGGCTCCTGTCTTTCTGCTGCTTCAACCACTTACTTTCTGGCAGCTAGTCCTGTTCCAGATGCTCACTGAGGCTAGGGACAGACATTGAAAAAGCCTGAGCCTGAACTGAATCAATCTTTACAGGTTAGTCTAACCTGCCTAGGCTGAATCACTTCGTAACTGCACAGACATGCAGGTACATGCCTGCAGTAGCTCAGGCTAGAAGTGGGGGGCACTAGAGCAGCCCTTCCTTCCATTCTACAGTGCTGAGTTGAGGGGAGCATGGCAGAAGCTCTGATTAGCCCAGCAGGGAATTGATAACAGTGTTTATCTCCCAATTAAGAAAACAACAGAGGGGCATTACCAGCTACTTGTTGATTCTGCCTGTTGATTCAGCACAGACCATAGTCAGCTTATGATGTGCTAGCTAATACACAGACACCTCCTCAGGAAGGCAGAGGGGAGAGGGGAATTCCTGCTTAGCAGGCACAGGTGAGGGGAGCAGGGAAGCAGCCTGCACTCTCTGGAGCTCCAGCCAGGAAGCAGAGGGGAGGGGCCAGCCCTGCTGTGGAGCAGAGAGCTCCGCCCATCCTAGAGAACATGCCAGGATGCTGGGGGTGTCTGGTTTATCTTAAACCAGCTAGGGGTCTGGGACAGACATTGCATAAATCGGTTTGAGCCAAATCAATTAAGTCTCATACTACATTCAACCAGGTTTATCTCAAACTGCTTTCAGCCATTCTCAAACTGGTTTATGTGCACTGAACATCTGCTCTATTACAGGTTTAAACCAGTTTCTGATCACTTAAACCAGTCTGTTTGTAATGTCTGTCCCTAGCCGGATTGCAACCCTACTGAGCGGCCCTTTTTCTCCCTTAAAATAACAGGGAATAGAAGCCCTCTGTTACAGTAGGGCATTGGTAGTGGAATGTTACTTCATTTCTTTCTTTTTTTTAAGTAAAAGAAGACATTTTTATAAATTCTGAATGGGAGATGACAGGTTAGCAATCAAACTGAGTTGTCTCAGCCAAAATGATAATGGCTCCAATTTTCCTCATTTAGTGTACTGCTGACAAAATGCAGGCTCTCAAGATAATTATATATGTATGTAAAGCTCAGCCCACAGTCACTATATCACAATAAAACTCAACCATTTAAGAGTCTTGTAATGAGCTGGCAGCCTCTGAGACCCTCTATAAGACTGCAGAAGGACAGAAAAGAATATTTTATGTTGTTTGCTATGAGTATTAGAACACTTTCTTCTGAAGTATGCACTCCAACACAGGATACAAAACTGGCCATTCTGGTGAGGCCTCACCTGGAGTACTGTGTCTAGTTTTGGGCCCCACACATCAAGAAGGATGTGGACAGTTTGGAAGTAGTCTAGTACAGGGCAACAAAAATGGTCAGGGGCCGGGAAGGCAAGACTTATGAAGAAAGACTGAAAGAACTAGGGTTGTTTAGCTGGGAGAAGAGAAGATGGGAGGGATTTAATAACACTTCAAATTATTATAAAGAGCGATTATAGAGAGGATGGAGATGGGCTTTTCTCTGTGGCTGTAGGGGTCAGGACTAGAAGCAACTGCCTCAAACTGCAGCAAGGGAGATATAGGCTGGAGATTAGGAGGAACTTTCCAACTATGGGAGTGAGTCAGGCATCAGTACGGGCCAACCAGACAAGCTGTGAAATCTCCATCCTTGGAAACTTTCAGAAGCAGGTTAGACAGACACTTGGCTGGGACAGTTCATTTGGGGATGATCCTGAATTGAACAGGGGCCTGGATTAGAAATGACTTTGAGGTCTCTTCCAGGCCTGCTTTTCTATGATCCTGTGTCATTGGATTTAAGTGAGAGCATAGCAGTTTAGACAGCCATGTTACTACCAACTTAAAATGTCTGTTTAACCACCTAAATAGGATGATCGAGAGACAGTCAGTCCTGAAACACATCTTCCTAGTTCCTAAAGTTTTTTTTTTTAGGTCAAAACTTCAGATACCCAAGCAAAAAAGACTTGGCTTTCTGAGTTGTTGAGTATTCTAAGCGGCTGTTGCCTTCAGTGAAAGGTGGAACTGGTAGTACATCTTTTACATTAGTGTCTAAATATAGATTTAGGTGCTAACTTTACTCAGTCAAGTGTGAAAATGTTGCCCTGAGTACATCATTCTCATCACAGTTCAGGGCTGTACGGTTTATATATAAAAAGGGAATTACATTGTGTATAGATTTTATGTAAAGAAACAGAACTCCTGTCCTGTTAACCAGAAGAACTCAATGCATGTTTTTTTCAGTCTCAACTCGGGCATCTTCATTAAGAAGTAAAAGGACTTGAGTTGAAAAAAGTCAGCACCCCCTGTGTAAACTAGCCAGCATCTCACCACATGCTTGTTGTGTTTAGTTGCAGATCTGGGACACAGCAGGCCAGGAGAGATTCCGAACAATCACCCAGAGCTACTACCGGAGCGCCAACGGAGCAATCCTGGCCTATGACATCAGCAAGAAGGGCTCTTTCCAGTCCATTCCTCGCTGGATCAAGGATGTGAGGAAATACGCTGGCTCCAACATTGTACAGTTGCTCATTGGTGAGTTTGGAGCATGAATGAAATGCTTAGCACTACAAAACAATGCACAGGTATTTGAACTAGGGAAATAACAGTTTTATCTCTCTTTTACAGAAGTCAAAAGAGTAGACGTAGTTGTGAATGTTCTGAGGAAATATACTTTTGTCAGAAAATGCCAGTTCATATCAACTGAAACATTTTTTAGAAATGTATCTGTTTTGATGAATGCCTGACAAAATGAAGGTAGGTTTGGGTCCAAAACCTGCCTGAGCTGCTACCAGCCGTTTTGGCACAGCGTTAGGGACCCCAGGCTTCTGTATTTTATTTTTCCCATGTAACTGCCCTGGGACCAATGATCCCAAGGCTTCCTTGGTCTAGGGCTGTCCTATTATGTGGCCTGCCCTTTGGTTGAGGAAAAGGATAGTATAGCCAGGGTTCCCCAAGAGGCAGTCTGGGAGTTGGGAGAACTTTAGGGCTCTCAGAGGTTATGGGCTCCCTGCTGCAGAACCAGGAGTTTCAGCTATAAACCTTCTCAGCCACATCTCTCAGGGCTTTAAGTCTTTTGGTTCCCTGCAGTACATTAAGGCTGACATAGAGCTCAGAAGCACTGGAAGCCACAGCTGAGCCAGGGCCCTTAGAGCTAAAATTTTATTTAATTATGAATATTTTAAATAAAATGTTTTGCCCAACAGTTAAGAAATAATTATTTTTACCTTCCATGAAGAATGATGATTCCTTCCCGAACCAAAAGTTACTTCAGAATGTCCCTTGAAGGGACAGTTATGCTGAGGAAGGCTAAATGGCCTGAGATCTATCCTGCAGTTCTTGTCGGAATACTTTGAGGGGCTCAGTGTGAACATGTTCTGCTGTAAATAGTTTCCTAAGTAGGACGTCTAGGTACCCTTTTCACTCCAGAGGAAAATGGCAGTCATAGCCCAAACTTCTGATCAGCTCTAGGGGCAGTCACTGTCAGAGGTAAGGGTTGACCCCAAGAATTTCTACTTCTGTTTTCCTATTTTGATCACACTACCACAGCACATATGTTCATTCTTAATGAGAAGAGGGTCTGAGATCCTCAGCCTCTAGTCCTAACTTGTAAATAGTTTATCGGCTGGTGAGTACATTACTTACTTTAAACAGTAATGTTCTGTGTCTTATGTCATGGCTTAGTCTGGCATGTACCATTTTACCACATTATAAACCTTAAGATTTCCTGAACTCATTTCATGCTAAATAGTGGTTTTCTTTGCTGTTCATCTTTCATTAACTCAGCCATCTCTGATTTTGCTCACTGTAATGATGTTACAGGAAGCCTGAATTTCACATGTAAAAAATGCACAGACTGAATGTGCAGATACAGGTAAGGCAGCTGCATGTTCAGCGTGAGTGTTAGATGTGCAGTCATATTTCTGAATGTCTGAAAAGCAGGCCTTGTGTATAATTTTGTTTCTTATGAGAAATAACTGTTCTCTGTCCTCTGTAAGCACAGAAGTGTGAACTGTGTTTCCTGAGTCCAAAGAGGGAATAGTATTTTAATTTTATATAATATTTTGAATCATTCAGTTTCTGCAGAATAACAGCTCTTACTTGGTCTCACTTTCACTTTCCATTCCTCTCCCCAAAAATGGCTGTGGCTTTTGATTAACAACTTATTTTCTCTGCCTTCCCGGTCTCCAGCTGTTGCACTCCAGTCTCACTTCCATGGGTCCTGCTACTGTCTTTTGTCTTCTACACATCACATCTCTTTGCTTAACATTTGCCCTGATATCAGTAATCATGAGAAGTCAGTCTGTAAATAATTTCACTTTTTTCTGCCAGGAAACAAGTCTGACCTAAGTGACCTTCGAGAGGTTCAGCTGGAGGAAGCCCAGAGTCTGGCTGAACACTATGATATCATCTGTGCCATAGAGACCTCTGCGAAAGACTCCAGAAATGTGGAGGAGGCTTTTCTGAAGATGGCCACAGAGCTCATGATGAGGCATGGAGGCCCAATGTTCAGTGAGAAAAACACAGACAGCATCAAGCTTGATAGTAAAGATGTGGTAGAGGGCTGGGGGTGTGGCTGCTGATATGAACTAGCTAATATTCCTAACTTAACTGGAATTTAGATGGTGCTTCAACCTAATGCTGAGTAGCCCAGTAGCTGTATTCTCCTGTGAAAGCAGCATTTTTGTAGAAGTTAGACACCAGTGCAATGAGGATTATGTCTCTGATTTTTAAAAAGCGACTTGATTAAGGTTTAGCTCTAAAAGTCAACCTTGACATTCACTTTTTCTTTGTTTCCATCATTTTCTTTGCTGTAACCTTCACGGTGAGTTGTGAATCTGAGGCAAGCAGCTTCGAATTGATTGTTGGGGGCTTGGGGGCTGATAGCAGCTGAACAGGAACTTGCCACACAACTGCAGTCCTATGCCCTTTGGTATATGATACCTGGCAAAGATGGTCACTATTTATATTTTAGGTTATTCAGCCTTGATAGTGTCTCTTTATTCTTAACATTCCACCTGTGACCGGAGTCAGATTCTAGCAGGGATGGAGAGAGTCTATGGCAAAAGTATCAAAATGTTTGATTATTTTAAATGTGGGACCAAGCAGCATTCCTCTGACTTAGGCACTGGACTGCAGTGGAAGCTGTCTCCTTGCAAGTGAAATGTGGCATGCAGATTGCTAGCTAACGCTGGTAAAAGCCAAAGAGACAGCCCTTCTCTCAGATACTTTTTAATACTACCTTTCTTACAAATAGTGAAATCAGCCTGAGCAATACTGGATGCCTGATTGCGTAACAGTATGGGGCAGATATTTAATTCCTTTAAATTCAACCTTGAAGGAAGAGGGGTTTGATTTATTTCATTCCTTTTTTTGCACAGCAAATAGCTCCTCTTCCAAGTCGGTGTCATTGAGTTTTTACCTTCAGCTTTATTCATTTCATTCCATAAACTCAGTGTCAGCACCACTGGAAATAATACGAACTGGAAAAACCTTGAACAGACTTTGCTAGCCATGAGCTCTTTTGATGTGCTTAACTGTCACATGCAAAGTATCTCTGGTCATGCATGTTTAGCAATAGTTGTGTTGTGAGGGGGTTTACTGCACAAATGCCAGAACTAGAACTTTCTCCCATTCCTTAACTACAGTCTGGGCATTTTATGGGAAATGGTATTTCAGCGTAGCTGAGAACTGCGTGAAACTTGGCTCATGACTGTAGGAGAATACAGAGCCTTTTCTTGACAAGCACATGTTCTCATGTACTCATCTGGATCCCTCTTCCACAATCACAATTTGCCAATTGCTTTTCATTTCTTGCAGCAAGAAAAATCTTTTTTAACTATTACTCAGAAGTCTGCAATAGGAACTAGATTTGATTTAATAATCCTGTTAAATAGAAGTGACCTGAAGATGTAGCTGTCGGTTTAAAGCTTGTATGTGCAGTTAGAAAGTACTGATGCCGGCAGCTCACTCTGGATATACCCTTTCAAGCACTTTACAAGCTTGGATTTACAAAGGGAATGAAAGCAGGATTTTTTTAAGTTTTTAGTTTTAAACCAAGATTTGCAGAAGTAACAAGTGATTTTTGCAACTCCAAATACTTTTGAGGGGTCTGATTTTTAGAAATGCTGAGCATCCACTCTTTAGAATTTGGGCAGCTATACAACTGAAGCACCCAAAATCACTAGTTAGAAATCTTGACCCCAAAGCATAGTGTGGGTTGTTATTATTATTTGAAGTAAACTAATTTATAGCCATTCTATACAAAGCATGAAAGTCAGGAAGAGCAGAAATGTTTTAAATGCATCAAAAATACATCAGAAATATTCTTGTGCACCATACTAAACTGTTCTGTGTACTTTGTCTTGATTTTTAACTATGAAGTAGATAACTAAAAAGATTTCTGAATGCTTTGTAGGCTTTGCTTGTGATTGAAGAAGATAGTTTTCACTTCAAGTTTTATAATTGTAAGAGTAAAGAGGCCTTAAAATTTTCAGCTAGTTTAGTTTTTACATTTCTAATGTTTTATATGGAAATGCAGGGTGAGGTACAAGTAGGGATTTTTTTTTTACATAGGACAGTTTTCCAGGATAGCCCCTGGACTCCTACTTCCAAAGAGAAGAGATACAGAGTGCCCCACAGTAGCTAAACACTGGAGATGAAGTTTTCCAGAACTCCAGGTGACTAACTTATCTCTTGCTACACAGCAAACCAAATACCCAACTTCCAAGACATCTTAAAAGTCTGCAATCTTAGAAAAAGGAAGGTAATCCAATTTAAAACTAAAACTAAACTAAAATTTAGTCCCAAAATCCTTAAGCGAACCCCTCTCCATCCCCTTCCTTCCCTGCCCATTTAGCTACCGCAGCAAAAGTAGCATTTCAGATGATCTCCTGTTTGTTGTTTAGTTTTTGTAACATGGGTATTGTTATTTCCTCCTTTATAAATGTAAGTTTATAATACAAAAAAGGACAAACCCTTAAGTTGCAGATTATTAGCAGGTATAACCATTGTTTGTCACCTTCTCCTTTAGTTTGCAGCTATGGGGCCACTCTGGCAAATTTCTGTGCTCATACATGATCTTGTGTCAGTCAGGAGTTGCATCATGGGCAGGATTAGTGCCAAAGTCCTTATTTCAAACCCTGCTGGTAAGAACTCCTGTCTGTGTTTAAGAACAGCAGTGCTGAAAATTCTTAAATCACACCTGAGAGCTTAGATCGTGATGCATCCCAGACTGGATCAAGAGCTTTAAAAGACTGGATTGCACTGCCATTGCAGTCAGTGAAAGTTTGGCCCTGTATTGTCAGTGGAGGCAGAATTGAACCTGAGATGTGCCAGAAGACTAAAAAGCATGGCACGCTCTCAGATATTCACCAGTGGTCAGTAAGCAAGCAGAAATAAATCTAGCACTTTAATTTTCAAGTCCTTGCCTTTGTTCATCTGATATTTCAGCACCATCACTGAAGTTTGAGAACCTGCCTAAAGAAGTTAGCCTGCTTCAGTTAGAAAGTATAAAATGCAGTGCAGTTTGGGTTTGTTTGCTGTGCCTTCAGAGGAAGGATACAGTTTAGCTTCTTTCATTTTGCTGTAACATGCCATAGCTACAGTTCAGTCAGCTCTGCCTTCTGACTTAAAAACACCTGACAACCATTATACATGTTTGCATGGCCTACCTACTTGAATAAGGGAACAAACAGAAGACTTGATTTATCCAAGTCAGGTTGACTGTTATCAATGGCATAACACTCAGATTCACAATAGACAGTTTCATTTACTCTGGGGGGCAGAGGGAGCACACCATTCAAATTCATTGGCCTGGTAATAGCATAGTCCTCACTAGGTTCATGGTTCCTTGAAGAGAAGTTTAGTTAAAACTATGAAAACCTAAATTGTATCTTAAAAAAGAATTTCTGTTAAAGACGGTTTATGGTGTAACTAACCTTGGGTGCATAAATCATATCCACATCTATGCAACGTAAGCATTAGGAGCACAGTCCTGCTCAACTTTCTTGGGCTAATCCTTCTGAAACCAAAAGGAGATTGGAATGAAGAGGCTGAGCAGGATTTGGCCCTAGCTTTACAGGCACAACACCATGTTTTGAAATCTCAGGTTAGGAATGTGCAATGATGTAGATCGAATGAGTGATCGAATCAGAGTTCATGTCACAAATATTTGCTAAGAGCCCTGTTTATTGACAGTTGAATATTAACAAGACTACATACAGCCTTTTGTGTAATGCAGGAATTGCTTTTAGGTAGGTCTTCTTAGGCTACCATTATACATATTGATATTTATTACTGATTTTGGCAGTGCCCAAAGGTTGCTAAGCACTGTAAAACCATAAAAAGGGACATTAGTCCCTTCCCCGAACCACTTAAAGGGCAAATTTTAGTGGCAAACACTGAAATAAGAGCACTTAGAGTTTTGTTCCCTTTTGTGTGAACAATATTTTCCCTGTATCAGTATTGCTATAACTTTTAAATTTGTCTTCTATTGCTTATACAGTCCATCATGATGGGTAGAATTTGTACAAAAAATTATAATTGTATCATTTTCAAATAAATGTGTGTCAGCACAGACTCCTGCTAATATTTGTTTTGTAAAACAAATTTTAAGAGACTAAATACCCAAGACTGAAACAATCCCCTAACTAGAGAATCAGTTTTACTACATTCAAGGTCAGGTCATATTCCTTAGTGTGTGTGGTAACCTGATTAATAGCATGTGACCCAGCTGCCACTTCATGGAGTTCCACAAGCTTTAGTGGAGCTTTAGCATTACAGGCGAGCCAGCTTAGTGTTCTTAATTGGTTCCTGAAAAAACGAGTATTAAGTGAAACGAAAGTGAAGTGAAAACGAAAGTATCTGACAACCCAAGATGGTAACCACAATTACTTTTAATGACCCATGATTGCGACCATGAGCATTATAATGAAACTTGCTGAGTGCTAAGTGAAATAAGGTATCAATTTAAAATGAGTATTATAGCAAAATAGCGAAACAGCGTTAAGCAGGGGGTTAAAATTTTTCCTTGCCTCTGGAGTTCTAGGATGCCTAGTACAATATCAACAGTACCTTGTAGAATCAGATTTACTTGAACACTAAGTTTGATTGTCATGGGGTCTGATAGGAAGTGTCCAGAGCAGCAGTATCTTCCAAAAATATTAAAGCCTTTTCCTCAAATTTGTCTTTGAGATTTGCACCTCCAGTATTTAATATTTTATAGTTCAGAATAATATCCAGATGGGCATTTGATTATCTGTTGTTATCTCATATCAGTCCCAATCTGCAGCATTATCCCCTTCTTGTCGTAGCTTTCTATGAAAACAGTTATCTTCTTACAATATAGTTGAGGCAAGAACATTTGTTAAAATGTGAATCTTTTCAAACGTACAAGTCATTTTTCATCTATTAAGTTCCCAGGCTGTCAAAATTATTTCCTGTCAGTCAGTGTGGTGCACCATGCTCAGGCATTTATTAACTGAGTGCATCATGTCATGCCACCTTGTTTAAATAGTGTGTTGGAGGAAAACAGCGAAAACAATGCATTCTTTGTGAAAGGTGAGGGGTGACTGTCCTTTGATATCTCCCAAGCTTGGAGTGTACATAGTTTAGCACTTGCCAGTTCTGTTCTGTGTAGGAACATGCAGGAAGTAAACCAGGCTCCTGACTGAGGAGAACACGCAGCTGTAGGAGAAGCTAAAGAGGATTGGAATTAAGGTTTGGTATCGTTTGTGGGGAGGGGGTAGCTCTATGAGAATCACAGATCCATGAGCACCATTCTCATGAGTAGACAGAGGCAGTTAGCTGTATTAGTCTGCCGTCTACCCTCTAGTGCCATAGTACCAGAGCATGTCATAATCTATAGCCTTTTTCTCCTCGCAGCACACCTCTGGGGTATAAAAAGGCTATTCTCATCTTTTCAAATGCAGATGTAAGGCATTGAGAGACTACCTATAGCCCCACAGGAAGACTGTGACAGTCCCAAGGCTTGGGCTAATACCCTAACAATTGGCCTTGGTCTTTCTTCTAGCTATCCTACAGTAGCTGGATGGAAGTACTTGGCTTTTGCTAGCTTGATAGTCACCTCAGTTACCCATATGGATTATTTTAATATTCATAGGATGGTAATACCCAGGGTCCCCAAGCAGAATTGATATCCCACCATAGTAGACAAGACACTGACTCAGGGCCAGACCCTCATTTCAGATGCAATCTATGGGCATCATTCCAAGAACATAAAAAGGCTTTAGGCTGACTTTCCAGGACCCTCATCCAATGTAATTTCTATGCTAATTGCTCCTCACAGATGCAATGTAAAGGTCAGGGCTGGGAAGTAGTGCAAGGGGATGATGCTCCTTTGATCTTGGGGGCTCTAAATTATTCCAGAACTGACCAATCCTAAAGCTGAATTTGTAGGCTACCAAGTGACATGGGAACTGAGCAGTACATAACTACATCAGTACTGAGGTTCAAGGAGATGATCTGTAGAAGTCTTCTGGGCTGATCAGAGTGTTCCTCAGCCATAGTCATGGATCTTTTCTGTTACTTTTACTGTGTCTTTGGTCAAAAGGGCAAGAATTGTTTGGCTTTTATTTTACTATTAGATTGAGGGTGACTAGAACTTGCCTGTAAACAGTGGGGCTAAAGTTAAAGCATCTTTCCCATGTATAGAAACCTGGTGAAGAACTATTATATGGTGTACATGTTAAACTAATAGCCAGATGTCTATGACACATCTGGCTACAAAGTTGTCCAATACTTAGCCCTCAATCACTCATGTGTATAAAATACAAGTTTCCCCCCAACGTATTCTGATGTCCCACCTTCTAAATGAAGAACTATGCTAAGATTGCTTTGTTTGATCCTGGTGTCTGTCTGCAAATGATTCCACAACACTTCCCACAGAGGGAGGCTTACCAATGCCCTGAGTAGCATTTTCTTCCATTGTAAAGTATCCCATTAAGCACACCAACAGTCACCAGCATTTAACCAGTTACTTTGGAGACAGTTTTGAAACACTTGAGGGAAAATTTTGATTAGCAAAGAACAGCTAAACACACATCTCGAATCAAAACTGACAGCTCTTCAAAGTAAACACAAACTAAATAAAGGGACCATGTTTAAACATTTCTTTTGCAAGTCACCTTTAAGACAAACAGGTCAGTGGAGTTCTTTCTTACATTGGGCTGCGCAGCTAGTGAAGAGTAAATCTTGCAGCACTTACTCAGATAGGTTGGAGACAGTGGTCATTGAGCCAGGACATAGTTAGATATTGTAGATAGACTCTCTACCTCCAGCTGCTGCTATGAAGTTCACAAGAGCTCTATTTAAGAGTATGGACAGATACATATATAGATAAAGCACTTAAAATCCCACTTCAATTTGTAGTACTTCATTAGAGCAGTCATGTAACTGCCACTACACTGAAGTGCTGAAGACTCATTCCTGTTTCATTGAAGTCTTTTTTTATATGGTTCAGGCTGATTTGTAGCACTGTGACACTGTGTATCATTTGTCTGCTCAATTTTTATAGTGCTTTAAAGTAGTTTAATGTGCTGTAAATGTTGCATCTGTCCATGCCCTAAAGCACTGTCTTACAGCTGATCTTATTCTTGCTTTAGGGACTAGGATCCCTGGAAATCCCTAAGCACCCAACATTTAAAATCATGTTCATATGATACCAGCATGATGATTGCTGACTTGGTGTTTATCTCACTTTGTGGGACTGTGATAGTCAGGGAAAACGTGGAGTGTAGCATCTGCCTCTTGGCGAAGGCCCAGAGTCTGAGCTGGGAGACTAAGTTCCACACTTCTTTGGGCAGGTAGTCAGGACATTTCCCTGGCTTTTAAGATATTTTTGAGACTGTTACCTGAGACCTGGTTTAAACCATAAAAGCCAGCTCCACTGCCTTTAATGTTTGAGGGGCTTTAGTTCAAGTAATAACTGGAGAGTGGGATCAGGCTTTAGGCCATGGGTGTGTAAAATACCATGGCCGTGGACCAGATCCGGCCTGCCAGGTAACTGGATCCAGTGCAGCTGCCCCCTCAGCAGTCTGTATAGGGCCAAATTAGCAAACACAGCTTCTGGTGGGCCTGTTCCTGGTGCAGTTGCAGCTCTCCCTGCCTCCAGAGATGGCTCCTGCTCCAGCTATTGCCCCTGGTGCACTGTGCCACACTGCACCATGCTGGGCAAGCAGCTTCAGCCGGGCAGCTCCAGCCCCAGTGTGCAGGGCTCCAGCTCCAGCTCCAAACTGCCTTCCAGTGGGAGGTGGCTGGGAGCTGGAGCCCCAAAAGCTGGGGCAGGAACCACCTGGCTGAAGCTGCCCACCTGCCGGGAGCAGCACGGCACGGCAGGGGCAGGAGCATGGAGGTGGGGGGAGCAGAACAGCACCCAGCTGAGCTACAGGCACCAGTGGAAGCGTAGCACAGGCTGCCCCAGTGTGAAGGGGTGGGACTCAGTCCCAGGTGGAGTGCCAGGGGGCAGCACAGACTGCACCACCCAGGCAAACTCTGATGCACACACCCCTGCTCCCCCTCACCAATGGCAGGCTCCTGTGAGCTAGTGTTCAGGCAGCACCTCCCCACATGTACCTCTCCCCCACCCCCCAATGGCAAAGGCATATAAGGAGCAGGCCGTGGCCCCAGGCACTGCCCCACAGCCTTGCCCCATGATCCCAGCTTTGCCCACCCCCTCTCACTCCTGAACCCTGTTCCCCGCCCACCTGCAGCCCCATAGGGAGGTTTGGTGAGTTGCTGCAGCAAAGGTTTGGCAAGTGAGATGTGAAGGGGATGGTACTGACCTGGCCCCCAACAGCTCATCAGAACTCCCCATGTGTCACTTGAGCCCAAACAATTGCCCCTCCTTGCTTTAGGTAGAGCTGCTTTCACATTGGATTAATTCTTCTATCCTAGGTTTAGCAGACTTCTTAACCAATGATACTCCCTTCCAGACAACAATATAAGAACAGCAGATGCAATCTACTGTAGAGTAGGTGATGGTCAACTTAATTTTCTTCTGTACTTGGAGGGCAGTGGTGGGGGGAGAGGGTCTTTTCTGTAAGTAGCAAACTGCCCTAAGTCATTACATGTGATGAGCAATACATACTTGCCTGAGGATATGGTGAGTGCCATCTTCAGGGCAGGGTTCAAAATACAGAGGGGTTTGGGGGATGAGCCCCCCCAATAAAGATGAAAGTCCCTGGCCTACCTGGTGCCTTTCTAAGCAGCTCAAGCGGTGGTGGACCCCCCCCCCCACCACCACCACCAAAAGTTGGAGCATAATTTGAACCCCGATCTTGGGCACATCCAAAATTGTGCTTAGAAGCATGGGCATAGAAAATTGTAACGTATGGGTATGCAAATTTATACTTGCCATTGAAGCCACTTTAAAAAAGTTACACAATTTTTTTAAAGGTATTTAGATACCCAAAGATGCAAATGTTTTTGCATTGGAAATGCCACTAAGTAGTCCTCTCCCACTGTAGTACAGGAACAAACAACTGGTCACATCAGTAGAGACACAGCAGTGCAGTGCCATACCCAGGGCAGCTGCATGGCACTTGGGGCAGCACTATCTCCTGCTATGCCATTTGCAGCAGCCCTGCCACTGTGGCAACAGCTGCTTTTGTGTCCTTCTACTTGGGGCTGTTGCCTCAATCCTGTCACCTCAGGTAAACTACTTTTCTTTTGCATGTCCAAAAATGCTCTGTCAAAAAACAGATCCTATTATGAAAGCCAGAGCTAAAAAGAAGAGGGTTTCTGGTTCTAATAACACATGTTATTAGTTCCCACCCCATTCTTAATTCAACCTCTCATTGATAAATAAACGATTTTAATTTGTAAATGTGTAGTTTATTTTTAAATGGAGAAATAGTTTAAGTAAGGGAAGAAATTTGTTATGTGATAAAATGTTTTATATGTTTTAACAACAAGGATACAGTGATGAGAACAGGATCTCTGGGCTGGTTAGTTTAAGAGATGCCCCGCAATAGAATGCTATATTATAAGAAACTGTGATAAATAAAACTCATGGGAGGAGAACAGTGTGACAATTCCAGTGTCAAGTGATAAATACACCAGCTCCAAGTCAGATCTGGTTCTTAGTTATACCGATCGAAATCCAATGGATAAGATCTGACTGTAGCCCTTCTGTCAGAAGTGAGTTGGGGCAAATTTGTGGGTTCAGTCATATGTAGAAGAAAATGTGGTTCTGTTGCTTGTAATATTTGAGAGGAAGCTTTCTGTTTTATACATTTTCATTGAGAAGTACTGAAACTTTTGATACCCTAAAATGCACAGTGCTTCTTTTGTAATAGTGCCTCATTTGTTGATGTCTGACAGTTAGAAAATCTAGTGTCCCCCAACTGCACAGTCCTTGGTAGTTATACATCATTCAGGTGAGTCTGGCTAATGCACTTGGTGGGGAAAAAAGCTCTAATTCATATTGAATTTGTTCAGTGCATTTCAAAATGTCTTACCAGGTTTGGCAAATACCAGTGTTAAAGTCCTCTGCATTTTTTAAGACTGATCTATTACTAATTGTTTAGGTTTCTGTAAGAAATGCAGACCTCAAGTTTCTGATCACAGTTAACCATTTTGCTTTGAAACTTTCCTATCACAATATTGCTCAGACCTTTTGGAAAGCAAGACAACAAGGGAACAAACTTGCATACTGAAGTAATTTTTATATGTTACCTTCATCTATTTATGAATTTGTTATAAAAAAGTTTATTTTTTAAAATATGAAACCTGCTTTTTTGTAAATTTTAGCAAAGCCTATAGTGGATACATTGTACTATGTATCATTAAACAGATTTAATTAAAATAAGCACTTGGCAATTTGCATGGTCTTTATTATTATTTAACATAAATACATCTCACCAAGAGTTTGTGTTGTTAGAAGTTTAAAGCCATTAGATGTCATTATCTCATTTCCTCCCATTTGTCAAAACCTCAATACTGTCTTGCACAAATATAATTGATGTTTGCTTTGCTAGAGATAAAAAATTATCTCCATCCTAGTTGCACACGTTCTCCCTACTGCTAGTCTCAGCTTAGGCTGAGAAGCTAAAAGTGGAGACTTACTTGCTGGAAGCATGCAGAAATACTTAGCTCTGCAGAGCACCTCTTGATGCTGGCACCTTGATGAAGCAGGGAAAAGTGGGACCTAGATTTACCTCAGTCGGCTAATTAGTAGGGCTGTGCGAAGCTTCGGTCCCCGATTCAATTCGGCAGAGATTCGGCCCAATTTGGTGGCTGAATCTCCGAATCTGAATAGAATCAGAAGACCCTTTAATCTCTCCAAATCGAATCGGAACCCTCCGAATCAGTTTGGAGAGATTCAGAAAGATTTGGAGATTCAGACATAGAGACAGCTTTAAACGTTTTTTCTACATACCTCTAGGTAGCAGGGGCTTGTGAATGCTGCAGTGTTGCAGCAGATGAAGTTTCCCACAGAAGCACAGGGGGCTCCCCAGTGTGCTCGGCAGCAGAACCAGAAATGGACCAGAAGCGTTTCTGGTTCACTTCCGGGTCCGCTGGGGAGCACACAGGGGGGCTCCCCACACCCCTCCGGCTTGGTGACTGGTGCCTCCTGGGTCTGGGGGGGCACCTGGGATCCCCTGCCCGCACCCCCCCCCCATGCACACCGGCGGACCCGGAAGTGCTTCCGATCCACTTCTGGGTTCGCCACCAAGCACATGCAGGACACCTCCCACGCACGTGCGTGCACACACTCTCTCTCTCTCCCCCCTGTGGGATGCTATCCATGTGCCCCCGTATTGCAGCAATCATGAGCTGTGCCTGCTACCTCAAGGTACATAGAAAAAACAAAGTTGTGTCTATGGCTGAATCACTCAATCTTTCCAAATCAGCATCATATCTTCAGATTCAGACGAATCAAATCGGGGACAGCAATCCGAATCAATGAATCAAATCACTGTCCCTGATTCAGGCCAAATCCGAATTGAATAGGGCTGGCTTCGCACACCCCTACTAATTAGTATATTTGAATTAAAATAGAGCAAGTTTCCTCCTACTCCATCTGTCTCATGCACCTTTTAGCTATATTGCCACTTGCACACTTAAAAATAGATCCTTCTTTTCCAAGCTAGGGGCCTAATTCTGGGCAGTACCAAGCATCATAATCCTCCTCTGACTTCAGTGTGATTGGCTTACGCCCACCTATGAAAGCACTGCAGTAGCCTACAGTAAAATGGCCCTGCACCAGAGCTGATGATGCAGTGTCCTAGGCTATTGTGAAATGCACCAATAATTTCTTCCATAGACTGGTACAAAGCACCTCTCAGGATCAGGTCCTACATTGCCATGTCAACACAACCCTTCTGAGTGCTACAGTAAGACCACAGGAACTTCCCATGGGGATAAGAAACTATGTTAGAACACAGTTGAGCTTCTGACTCAGTGTTGCCCCCAAAATACTTACCTGCTTTCAAACTCTTCCTTAACAAATTACTTCATTACTTTCAGGGGCATCTTGACTTCATAACCTTAACCTTATTTATTTGGATGTAATTTTACATGGCCATTGGCATACATGCTGCTTTGGATATTCCTTTGGTACCAACAGCATCTGTAGTACAAGCCTGACAGGCAGTGGTGAAGTCTGTCAAGCCTTCATACCTACTGGTCTTGTCGGTGCACACCCACGATATGGTCCACATGTGTGAAGGAACCAAATAAAACACTGTATCCCAAATAAGTCAAAAATGGTAAAGTC